TGAGATAAAATACAATTTGCTGGAAAAGAAGTTATTAATTTATATATGATTTTCTACAAATCTTTTCAAGATAACGGTAAAATTCAAGGTAACAGCAATAGAACAGTAAAATTAATTAAATGATTAAAAAAGCATCATCAACACAAATGTAATAGTGTTTCACAACACTTCAGAGTGCGTGTTTGCCACTTTTAATCATTTCCAGAACATTCTTTGTTTTCCACAGTGAATAGTTCAACCGGGAAGTTACACAATTCATCCTGGATTATCTGTAGACACTTTTTTTTGTCATTTACAACACAGTAACAGTTTTAGGGACAGTTTTAGTTTGACACATGTAATGTCAGCACAGTCTGATCATTAAAAACCTAAATGGTACCATTGGAACAACTGTGCTTTTGACTTTAATCTGCTGTGAATACACTCAATTCTGTTTAACATCTTTCCAGATTATTGGAGAGCATAAAGTGATTCTCATCCAGGTGAGCAAATTTTGTTAACCTGATTTGATTTGTTTATTGTCACATATAATTTGTTACAAAATACAGTGAAAAGTGTTGTAACAGTGTCACCATTCGCTGGAGCCATCTTAAATACAGAAAAATAAACCATGACATGGCATATAAAGGAAGAAAAATAACGAAATAAAGAAAAAGTGTTCAACTTTACAGTCCTTCTTGTTAAGTGCTCCGCTTTAGGCCAGGCATCAGCCCGCTTTGCTGCGCCACTGTCACTGGAACGGAAGCCACCACTCTTTGGTGTCATCTTGCCTCCACTGATGCCTTTGCCACTATGAATCCTCGCTGTTGCAGATGCCACCAATGCTGCCCAAACCCGACTCTGCTGCAGCCATGAGTCCGCTTTAGGCCCATCTTGCTGATGTAGCTGTTGGCAATGCTGCTGGGTCCAAAATCGCCTCTGCTACTTCCTCCATGAATCTGTGCTGGATGCAGACACTGCTGGAAACCCAAACTTGCCTCTGCCGCAGCATCCATGAGTCAGTGCTGGGACTGCTAGATTAGAATCTGTAGATTAGAAAAGTGAAAATTTGGAAGTCGCCTGTAGTTATACTTTATTTACATCTAAACCATAATCTTTCATACTTGCTTTATTCAACTGCCTACCTTTTTTTTCAGCCAGCAATTGTTGCTGATCTCTACTTGCTGGGTGAACTGTTAATGCTAATTTTACTGAATAGCTTTATAGGTCATTTCAGAGGCGAGTTACATTGCTATCAAGTAACAAACAAATTTGCAAATGACTCTGTTCAGACAATCGAAATAAAACTTGTAGTATTGTTGTAAATTAACATATACACCATAAGGGTCTTTTATTATAGCCCATGCAATGATAATCCTTTGCGACATGAAAATTACTGATGCTGATCATCCAAGTGTAAGATCATCATTTTCAATACATAGTAACAGATTAATATTTATCTTTTGCAATGCATTTCAGCTGTTAATCAGCTTAAAAAAAACTGGATTTCAAAGAATACTGTATATTATTTAAAGTATTGCAATCAATATGTACTTGTTTGCAAAATATTTTCTTTAATTCTTTAACTTCTGTTTCATGCTTGTAATACAGTTGGCTGGTGTGTTTTATTTATTTCTATTTATTTGTCACATGTACTAAGTATAGGAATACATAAGTACAACGAAAAGTGCACAAAGTCGCCATTCACTGGCACCTACTTGGTTACCAAACTAGAATTAAAAGATTTTAACAGACCCAAACGGTAATCAAGAAAAGGTGACTACACGTCAAAAGTACTTATTTGGTGAATTACACTTTGGGACATCCTGAAGTCGTGAAAGGCACAGTCTAAATGCAAGTTTTTCCTTTTATGGCATGGCTATCAATAGCATTAGATCTGATCTAATGTTTTTATAAGATTTTTTTAGGTTCTTGGTGTTGTATTCTCAGCTTTGGTCATTTAAATATTGCTTTCCCCACTTCTTTTTCACAGGCCTACAGAACAATTACAGTGCAGAAGGATGTCATTCAGCCCAAAATTTCTGCACCATTTCTCCAATGAATGTTATGACTTAGTTGCCTTATTCACCTGCCTTTTCTTATATCCTTGAATATAGTTTCTACACAAATAATCATTGACTGTTTTCTTGAATGCCTCAGTTCACTCTGCCTCCACAACATTTTCAGGCAGTACATTCCATGAACAACTTGTTGCACGAAAAGCCTTTTCTCATGTCAGATTTGTTATGTTTACAAATCACCTTAAATCTGTGATCTTGATTCTTATCCAAGCAGGAATGATTCCTCCCTATCTACTCTAACCATACCTTAAATGACTTTGAAAACTTCTGTCAGATCTCTTTCTCGCCTTCTTCCCCACTAATGAGAACAGTTCCAACCTTTCCAATCAATTCTCATAATTAAAGTTGCTTACCCCTTTCTCCTACGTGCGCTCTGCACTCTCAACCAGAGATATGAGGCTCATATTACTTTTGTTGCACCTTACTGTTTTGCACAGAAACAAGGGATGGAAGCTTGTCATGGTTGTCAGCCAGCCTCAGTCAAATAAAAGGCTATCCTTTGGTCAGAGGGTTCAGGCATAGTTAAGTCAAGGTAAGATTCCGCTACCATTCCAGAGGCTTGGAAATGGTTAGACTACCACTCAGAGTCAGGATATTTTCCATATTTGGGGTGAGGAGCCAAAACCTGTCTTCAATCTTTCTGCCCTTTTGGGGGTTGTTTTCCTCTGGAAATGAAAGAAAGGCAGGTATTGAGGGAGATGATGGCACAGCTGTTCCTTTTGGTCAGGTGAATAGGTTTCTTGAATGAGTGAGAAGGTGGTGCAGATGGCATTCAGGGTTAGTGGTGCCAAAAGTTTGTGTGCATAACAGTGAGTGAGGGAAGATGCTGCATGCATTAGTGAGGATGATTGAGCATGAACTTTGGTGGGAGGTGAGGAGATGTAGACTGAGTGTGAGTTATCAGAGACAAGATGGTGGGATGTATACTGGTGGAGTGGCAAAGGCCATTGACATTCTTCCTTCAGAGCTGTGCATTCCCCTAGATGGTTGAGGGTACTTTAACACATGTGGAACCTTGGACCAGGCTAGCATGGTTTAGTGTCATAGCCTTTACTGCTGGTCCTGGGGGAGATCGGAGTCCTGCCTGTGTGTGACCCCATCCTTCAGGATCTCCAAGCCCCTGGCTGCACAGTGGCGTGCCAATTCTCCTCTGTCTGCCATGTCTGGGTAAATGCCAGGAGTCAGGCAGGACAGCTCCGCATTCACAGTGCTCATCTAGGTGCACAATGGGTTTATAAAGATGGTGTTGGTGCAAGGGATGCCACTGAATTCCAAGATATCTTCTGAGTGTGATTTATTGTAGGAAAGGAATGTGGTAAGATGGGGCCAGAATTGGACATGATGATGCCATAAGAGTGGGGTAGGTAGTTAATGTGGCCAGTTTGGTAAGATGTAGCAAGAAAACCCACTATGTCTCACAGTGGCAATCCCTCCAAAAAACCAGGCAAAACTCTATAGCCAAAAAGACTTAAGAATCAGCTTCTCTTTTTGCTCCTGTACTGCCGAGCTGCATGTGATGCTACAAACCTGGCTCTGACTGCAATTGAGGACTAAGCAGGTTAACAACCTGGATACTGCATCTTGCCTTTTTTCTGCACCCTATTTATACTTTGCAATTTGACTCCATTCTAGATAGCTAGACTCGGACTGGGAACTTTGTATTTGTGGAATTGAAACAAAAATATAATAAAAACTTTAAAAAATTGAAATCCAAAGTGAAAATAAACAGGTTGTAAGAAGTCAGAAAACAGAAAATACGGGTCAATGTTTTGGGAAACTAGTGTCAATCTATCTTTTCCCCTTTCTGAGATTGGTAGACTTACTCCATATTTCCATAATGTCCTGTTTTTAACTTCCTTAAAACACCTGTACATTCTCTATATTATGATATAAAAGAAATATTAGCAGAACTAGTCTTTCACGCACAACTTTTATATTTCATTGTACATGGATTTTCAAGGTTAATTTTCTTTGACATTGCATCAAAAGAACACTATAAATTGGAACAAAGTCAGTAAATGTTGAGCAACAGTGTCACTTATTGTCAATTGTGTATCAACTAAACATACTTAAATTTCAAAGTGTTTGAGAATAAATCCATGGAGAAAATGTTTATGAGAAAACATCAACTTGTATAGCTATACCATATTGAAAAAGTACAATTTGCGATACTCGAACCAGAAAAGTTAAAATGTAATTTCTGAACAAATCTTATCAAGTAATTGCACTAACTTTATCAGATTTTTGAATTTGCTACCGCATGATGCAAACTGCTTTGCTATCACTAGATTGATACTACATTTCCTGGACACCTTAACAACGTTCCATGACAGTAGTACAAGGAAGACTGCATTAGGTGTTTGTGCTGGATAATCCTTTCTGTGTCTAAGTCAGCGAATACATGTGTATAAGCTTTGAATTAAAAAGTAATATGGTGAAATAAAATAGGTATATTGTAATGGAAATGCTGACGTTACTCATTAAACCTGTGAGAATCACATTCTGTAAAGGCATCTGATCATTTTACTCATGTAATTTGTGAACTCAATGTTTGTAATTCATTCACAGGATATAGGAATTACTGGATGGCCTGCATTTATTGTACATCCCTTACAGCACTTCAGAAGATCTTGAACTGCTGTAGTTCTTGGAAATTGGAAATTACACAATTTCCTTGTGTGTTATGCATTCATTTCCACTATCATGGCAGTACATTGTTAACTATATGTACTTTTTATTATTTTAAATTTTTGATTATTTAAATTATTTAATGACATACATCCATGACATTGTTCTTGAGTTAATACTGTTAATAACTTAAAGATGATTATTTTCAAAGTAACAGATACTTTCAGTTACCTCGGTAATAGTAGGTAAAATTAATTTCATACTAGACTTTGCTGATATCAATATATTTTCTTTGTTTCCTGCAGATCTAAAATGGGTGATTGGTCATTACTTAGCCGTCTTCTAAATGAAGTTCAGAATCATTCCACAGTGGTTGGGAAGATTTAGTTGACAATGTTGCTGATTTTTCATATTTTGTTGGTCACACTAGTGGGTGATGCAATAAATGGTGATGAGCAGTCTAAGTTCACCTGTAACACCCGCCAGCCAGGCTGTAATAATGTTTGCTATGACACCTTTGCCCCTATTTCTCACCTGAGGTTCTGGATTTTCCAAATTGTTCTGGTTTCAACACCATCCATTTTCTACATTGTGTATGTTCTGCATAAAATAGCAAAAGATGAAAAATATGAAATGGACAAAATGCGTACACTGGAATTATCCAATGATCCTATGACTAGTCGACACCTTCCAGAAGATGAAAGCTTGACTTTGAGATCTTTTGCTGGCAACTCTCAGGAAATTGAATGTTATCAAAGGGATAAAGATGATGAAATAGAGCATATTAAAAGCAGTGAAAACAATGATCCAATCTATCTATCAAGTAAGGTTTTAACTGTATACAATATACATGTAATACTGAGGGAAGTTATGGAAATAATATTTTTATTACGACAGTATTACCTGTATGGATTTACTGTTCCATGTTTGTTTGTGTGTTGGACCTATCCATGTCCAACCAAAACAGACTGCTTCATATTCAGAGCCACAGCAAAGACCATCTTTTTGAACTTTATGTTTTGTGTTAGTCTTGCATGTTTTTTGCTGAACATTGTTGAGCTCCATTATTTGGGTTGGATTTATATTGCACGCATGTTATGCACTACTTGCTCACCCTGTTGCAACAAGAAGAAACGAAAGGAAGCAGTAAATCAGTATTCACAGCAAAAACCTCTTACATTAGCGCTAAAAAATTTGTTTTACGACAACCGAACATTGAAATTGTCATTCGGATTTTTGAAGCAGGGATCAGATAACCTTTCAAGTCAGGCAGCAATTTCATTTGAATCTGAATCAGTAGAAAGCACAACAATATATCAGGATGAAAAGGAATGTGGCAAGTTGCAACATGGAAAAATAAATATGCCTGGAACAAGCAAGAAAGCTGGCTTTAAAGAAAGAGGTTTTAAACAGATTTTGTTACATTCTAAATTTAATGCTTACAGATTCTTTATATTCAAAACAGTAACAGAACGTTTACTAGTAAATATTAACCAGTTGCCTTTGAAAAATAGAAAACAGTAGTTAATTTACCTAAATGTTAAGTATGATCAGGTATTGGAATACCCTACTTTTGTGTTGCAAAAGGCAGTTCAGTTAACCAAAATGAAGGAAAATATCACAATTTGAAATTGTGAAGGAGAGAGCATCTTCTAAAAACAACGGTGAGGTTCTCAGTCTGTGCTAAATTTTCCCTTGTTCTTGGAACATAAGAGAAATAGCCTCAAACACCTAAACAGCCAATCTGTCAAACCTTTCAGAACAGTGAAGTTCTAACTCAAGAATTTCAATCAGAAATTACTCAGAAAATTGTACTTTACAATTCCGTACTGCCAGTACTCAGCTTTGAAACAGGTGGGAATCTTTTCCCCTTGTCAATCCTTAGGTAAGGATATAATGCTCTATTATGACCTGATTTCTGAACAGGATCCAATTCCAACAAACTATCGGTAATGGTGAAATGCTAACTGACAGTACTGAAAGCTTAAAGTGGTTATTGGTTTATTGACCTTAAAATGATCTAGAATTTCCCTAACTGTAGCTCTAATTACACTTTGTTCTCATTGCGTTAATTCCTAGATTTACTGATTTTCTCAATGAACAATTCTAAGAGATATTTAAATTATTTTTCAGTTTGACTGTTTTCAACACAGTACCAACTATTTTTCAATCGAATTTACTATGAAAACCAAATACTGAACAGATGTAGAAATGATCCAATTGAAGTGTTTGAAATGGTTAAAGAATTTAAAGTTAAAGTAGAAATAAACTATTTTCACCAGTGCAGTCAAGCTTGAATGTCAGGAATTTTTCACCTAAACATACTAGATGTCTGGACCTCTCCCCTTAAAAGTTGTTGAAGTTAGGTCACCTGGAAGTTTCAAAACTGAAATGGACATCTACTATACAAAGATATAAGACCTGAATACCCTATGCCTGTACTTATGTTCCTATAGCATAACTGGACTATGTGTTTTCAGGTAACACATGATAGCAATATATTTTTCACTCCATCTATTACTGGTAAACATGTATTAATTAATTTTGGGCCATCATAATCCAGATATACATTGTGTGAATCTACAGTGGTAAGTACGATTAAATGATTCAGCAGTGTTGAGAGACTAGACAGGTTGAGGGTGTTTTCCTCCCAGTAGGGAAGACTGAGAGGAGATCTGATTGAGATGTACAAAGTTCTGATGGGCATAGACAAGGCAGATAAGGCGAAACCTTTCCAGTTAGTGGAGGGGTCAATAACCAGGGTGTAAAGTTTTAAGGTAAGGAGCAGTACGTTTAGAGGGGATTTAAAGGAAACCTTTGAAACCCTTTTAGAGGGTTGAGAGTATTTGGAACTCACTGCCTGAAAGGGTGGTAGAGGAAGGAACTCTCAAGATATTTAAGAACTATTTAGATGAGCACTTGAAATGCCATGACATACAACACTATGAGCCAAGTGCTGGTAAATGAGATTAGATCAGATGGACATTTGTTGACCGGCACAAAAATGATGTGCCGAACAGCCTCTTTCTGTGCTGTAAAAACTCTATGATTCCATTGAGTTGCTTAGTTTGGCACAAAATTTGTTTTGGCAGGACAAAATGATGGTAGGCATAGAAATTAGAATATTTATAACAGTGCAATATAGAGTAGTCTTTCAAAGTGAGGGTCAGGAAAATACAGTATTTGACTCTATAATTGGTTCTTGCTGTACCTAAACTGGGAATTTTTTTCAATGCTGACATTTGAAACCACAAGTTAAAAAATGCTGCATTCTCTAGTACTCACTTCCGTCATTTTCATATATGTAAATGATAACTTAAATATACATTACAATACTCACTGACAAGTAAACTTGTAAAATCATCAAGAAGGAATAAGAAATGTAACCATTTGCAACCAAACAATCTCAGACTCAAATATAGATGTTCAAAGCTGAAAATGATTTGGAAGGAAACAATAAGCTAGAAAGAAATTAAAACTATTCGCAACACCTGGTACATTTCACAACTCATTTCTTCGCTGCATTGTCGTATAAATGTATTTAATCATTACTCAATCTGCAGTCAAGGTGCTCAAGAACACTGTAAAACAGATTCTAGTAACAAAAAGAAAAGAATTTGCACCCATGTACTGAACACAAGGCATCACAAAACATTTTAGACTCAATTATGTAATTTGGAAGCATTATTTCCAAATGTTGCAATGGATAGAATCCAATAGCTAATTGCACACAGCAAGATTGCACATACAAAAATGCGATACACAGCATTCAGGTGTGTTTGAGGGTTAAACAATGAACAGAACCCAATGAGAACCACTACTGCTTCGAACGATGACAAGAGATCTTAACATTGTCAGAGTGCAGATTAATTCTGTCTTCAACATTTTGTGTGTGTAGTGATTGGAATGATGTCAGCCAGGTGGATCTCAAAGAATATGAGTTCCCTTACTGGGGTAGTTAACCTGGTCCAATCAGGGAGTCCTGGCTGACAGATATTGACAGGAGTGTCGGGGTTCTGCCTACTCAAGGAGCCAGCTCTATGCTAGCCAGGTCAGTGTCATGTACTATGCACATGTAATGAAAGGGTGACTTGGTGATGGGATACTGGCCTTTGTGGAGTTATTTCAGTGGCGCTGAGAGTGGGCTTAATGATGTGACTATGCAAAAGCGCCTATTAGCTGAAGCCCAACTGGACTTCAAACAGGCACTACAAGTGGCTTTGTCATTAGAAAATATGGCACATGGAGCTTATCAGTTACAGGGTATGCCGATGGAAGTGGGCACTCTCGCCAGGCCAAGTGAGCTTGGGGAACACCACTTCAATGAAGGCAATTGCATAGCTTCACTCATGACATATCTTGAGCAGAGGGACTCTAGGTCAGGTCACAGCAAAACGCTAAAACAAAGCCAAGCCTTGGCCAAACAGTTAAAATTTTCTTGAAGATACTGGCTGGCAGGCAATTGTAGTTGTTGCTAGAATACGAACTCAAGACAGCAACAGTCCCACTAGGCCTGAATTGAGTGAGAGAACTCAAAGGCTGGTATCCAGGGGAATGCACACCCTGGAGACTCCAACACTTGGTGTCACTGATGTAGAGGAGGCCAGATCGGGAGCAGGGGATGCAATAGACCACATTGCACAGGGGTTCACCTGCACATTCGTCCATAAAACAAACCTTCCACATTAGACAAGGGTTCACCTGCACATCCGTCAATATGGTCTACTGCATTCGCTGCTCCCGATGTGGCCTCCTCTACATTGGTGAGACCAAGCGGAGGCTTGGAGACTGTTTCATAGAGCATCTGAGCTCTGTTCACGACAAATGACAACACCTTCCAGTCACGAACCATTTTAACTCCCCCTCCCACTCCTTGGGTGACATGTCCATCCTAGTCCTTCTCCAGTGTCACAATGATGCCACCCGCAAACTGGAAGAGCAGCACCTCATATTCTGCCTTAGGATCCTACAGCCCAACGGCCTAAATGTGGATTTTACCAGTTTCAAAATCTCCTCGCCCTCATCCCATGACCAACCCTCCCTCTCATCCCTGCCTCCTTGACCTGACATAACCTATCCATCTTCTCTCCCACCTATCTGCCCCTCCCACCTCACTGACCAATCCCCACCACTCCCTACCTGCACCCACCTATCACTATCCCACCTATCTTCCCCAGCCCTACTCCTCCTCTCTCCATTTATTTCTGAGCTCCTTTCCCCTCCCCATTTCTGAAGAAGGGTCTGACCTGAAATGTCAATTTTCCTTCTCCTCTGATGCTGTCTGGCCTGCTGTGTTACTCCAGCTCCACACTGTCTTATCAGTATCACATCTCCCGATGTCCATTGGGTAAAATTGCTCAAAGAACATCATCGGCCGACAGCCAACAAAATATGCCTGTTGAAGTAGGACCCCAAAAAAACTTTATGCACATGTCTGAACCCAGTATTCCTCGTGGAACACACTACACACTCTACAAACTGGTGACAGCCCAACCACTTGATGGCGCACCTCCTGTTGAGTGCAAACCACCATAACATGGTAACTGACCCAAATGATGAAGAACCTTCAATGGAAAATCTGGACAATCTTCAACAGCTTGAGGACTGGGGCAATGAACCCTTTGCTCCACAACTTGAACAGGAGGAACTGATCAAATTCTAACTGTGGCAATCAAAGTCAGATAATGGGTTATTGATATTTTAATGAACCTTTTCAGGCATGTTGCAATCCACCTCTGGTCAGGTGAAACTTGAACTTAGACCTGACCCATAGGTAGGAATACTACTGCTGCGCCATAAGGGTCCTCAGATCATTGTCCATACACTAAACTTCTGTCCTAAAAGATCCATTTCTGATGGCATCATAATCATTCACATTGTGTCAGCTAAAGCCACTGAAAGGATTGTTAACCTTGACACTGAACTATAACGTCTTCCCAATCAGATGAACAAAAAAAACCTAGAGATGGGCCATGCACTGAGCAAGTATGAAAGATTATTACTCTAGTTGAATCAGTGTACTAGAAACACAAGAAATTTAAAACAAAATATTCTTCAAGCACACAATAGGTAGTTGGTATCTGTGGAGACAACAGAAAATTCAATATTTTGGTGGATGAATTTGCTCTTTGTCTAGATGCTGACTGTATTGTGAGATTTGTGTCTTCCGTAACATGTTACAGTAAAGACTTCATTTTACAGGTGGCTCGAATATAACACGTGTTTCATTAATGCGAATTGGGTGTAACGCGATTGATGAGTAGTTTACGCTATTTGGATAACGCAAGCTTTCTGCTGTACAGGTATAGCGATTTTTCATAGCGATTTCCCTATAATGCGATTTTCTGTAGCGCAAAGTTACACGAGAACGCAACTACTGTGTTATAGGACAACTACCTATACTTCAGTCTTCTGAGATGTCATTAGATTAACCCAGTAACTAGGGCTCTCAGTAACTTGAATCTACCAGACCTGTGATAATGATAATATTAATAATGAAGTTAGTATGTTAACCAGTTTTAATC